AAATTATATACTAATAAGATCAATTGAATTAAACATAAAAAAACATATTGAGAAGTTCTCATGATTCAATAATCACTAATACTTTATTAAAATCATTTTTAATTTTATAGAAGTGTGAAGTTTCGAGCTGCGCTACATATTTCAAAAAGAAAACATTTAAAATATATTATTTGTGTGACGATTGACAAAACATGGTGTGGCAAGAACGATGCCGGTGCATTGTCTATTTTCAAAAAAAAAAAAAGAAAAAAAAAGAGAAAAGAACCACACCGGCGGCATCTTTCTGTTTTTGTTTATTTTGAAACAAACTCAAAAATTCTTTATTCACGATTTTTGTGCTGAATTCCTGCAACTACCACATCTACAGTAACAGAAGAAAAGGAAATCCCTCAACACAGCAAAAGTATGGAGGAAGATCGGAGATGGGGGTGATAAGGTCCGCTATTGGAGATGCAGTCCTCACTTCCATGTGGGTTTTTAGCATGCCGTTACTGAGGATTTTCACAGGAATCATAGCAACCTACCTCAGCGTTCAAGCCATACCCCTTGCTGATCTGCTCATCACCATCAATCTCGTTCACTCTCATGGTGCTCAGTTTCAGCTTAGTAGGCACTCTGTTTGGAGGAGCCAGCTTCAATCCCACCTCCACCGCCTTCTTCTATGCCGTCGGCCTCAGGCCGGACTCTTCCCTCCTGTCCAAGGAGGTCAGATTCCCAACTCAGGCGGCAAGTGGCGTGGCTGGCGCCAAGGCAATCTTGCAGGTGATGCCTCAGAAAGTGGGCAAAGTGGTCCCATGCTTGCACAGGTGGTAGCACATGTGAAAAAAAAAAAATAGAACAAATGGATTTAACTGCTGACCGTTTAGGACTTAATGGTGAAGTGACGGCAACATGAATGGCGTCAGAGAAGGGACGACAATGAACCAAAAAAGAGGAGTAGAGGGACAATGTTTGGCTCTTTAATAGAGTAGAGGGATGACAACGAACAAATCCTTAGTAAAGGGACAAGAATGAATAAAATATGAAAGTAGAGGGACGAAAATCGGCTTTAAACCGTCACAAAGAACCAACAAATACACAAACACGTGAAGCCACACATAAAGATTTCGACTTTCTATGATTCTAGTTTATCTTTTTGACGTGGAAGACAAAGATGGCACCCACTCCACATCAATTCATTTAAAATACCATTCACAAAGAGCCAATAAAAACTCAAACACATGAATCCACCTGTAAAGGTTTCAACTTTCTATGATACTAGTTTGTTTTTTTGACATGAAAATTATCTGAGGAAGGAGAAACAGTGAAAGTAAAAAAATCACGATACTATGCTAAATTATAATGACAATTGGGGCCAAGATGTACGTGTTTGCTCCGGTCAATGGTGAAATTTCCAATTCATGGGAAAGACTTGAAGGCAATCATGTTTCCCATTCACCTTCTCTTTTTTAGTTTTCGAGCCAATAAAAATTATATTAAAATTAATATTAATTTTTA